CTGGAAAATTTGGGCTAGGGGACCTTGTGTGGACAGCCCTCTTGCGGGAACAACACTTTTAAATTACCTGGCAGAAATCATTGGTGGGGAATGATTGCCAGTTCCATCTGAGGGGAGCAATCCCAGCTGCAGGCTGTAATTCCTGTTACCTGTACAGTGGAAAAATCTCCCAGCATTAGCCCTTTTTTCCTCTCAGAGCAGCTAAAAATATGGTCTTTGAAAGAAGAGAAATACTGGTTTGAAATGGGAGAGGGAAGAAGCAGAGATATCTGGGACCTATGTAGAGGACATGCTGACAAATTTCCAAAGTGTTTTCAGGGACAGCAGTTCATAGGGATTGGGTTCTGAAAATCATTGTAATCTATCCCACAACTAATTATGTGAGTGGATTAGTCACTGCTGGCTTTGGCAGGGCTTTTCATTTGATTTCCAAAAAGAGGCTGCAATCTTCAGTCCTATCTCACCTATCCATGAGGACAACACAGCACTTGTCTGGGCAAAAGAGAGGAAGAATATTGAGTGGCATTTTGGGGGCCAAAAGAGGTCTTTTCACATTCGTTTGACTGTTTGATTTAGTTTAGGTTTGTTTTGTTTTGTTTTGTTTTTGTTTTGTTTTGTTTTGTTTTTCTGTACAGTGAAAAGCCCCTGGGATCAAGTTAAAAGGTGAAAATATGGACTTTCTTGGGAAAAAGTGCAAAACACTTCCAGGTTTTTAAGTTACAGAGTCCTGATATCAAACCAATGTGGTTTAGCATTAGCCACTGGGCTAATGAAGTGGATCTTACACTGCCAGCTCAAATCTTCTTGCTGCAGAGCAGAACTGGTGCCTGTCCAGCAGGAAAACATAGGGCTGCCAACTTAAGCCAGCTCAAGAGCTGCACCAAGGCCAGCTGAGCTGTCTCACCGGTCAGGCAGCCTGGGCAGTGGGGTTTGGCAACCTTCTCAATTGTGGTGGTGAAAATCATCTCAACTCAAGGCTCACCTTCCAGTGAGAAGCTTGAAGCAACAGCAGCAGCAGCAATATCTGAAGGAGAGGGCTTGGAGTCTGGAAGTGTCTGATCCTAAAGCTTGGGAAACCCTGAAGAGGTCTTGCAGTCAGATATGAATGTGATGGCTCTCCTTCACACTGCCAGCAGATGTTTATCCAAATGCCATCAACTGCTGTTTGCAAAGGGATTGAAGGGTGCAGGAGTAGTCACGGAGGTATCTCTTACCCCGATCTGGGTTTAACTATTTCAAGTGTAATTGCAGTTTCCACCTTAAACTGCTCTTGGTTACCTACTTACTTTTTCATGCTTCCAATTTTCTGAAGGATCTGCAGATCCTCCAAATGCAATGAAAAACACTGGGACATTTAATCAGGGTTGATTCCCTGAAGAAAGCACTGGGAAACAGCATTTAGAGACAAGAGCTGAGCATGCTGCATTTGCCAGCCATATGCTGGGATATTTTCTTTCATACTGGGCTCCACCAGTAGCTTGTATTTACAGGCGTAGAATTGGAAACAACAGAGATTGGGAGTATACAGTATTCAAAAATCATGTTGACATTTAGCATCCTTTATTTCAGAGAAGGAAGCACAAGGAAGGAAAAACCAGAAAACAAGGTAGGGGCGGATCACACCAGAGGCTGCTGGGTAAACCACAGTTCTCACTTCCACCCCAGAAAAGAGGAATGAAAAGATATGATTTGAAGGAGGGTAATTTGCAGATGCTTATAGGGAAGATGAACTGATGATGGCTGTAAGAAGGAAACACTCCATGGAACTGGCTGGTTTCCAAACCCCACCATCAAGTGACTTCTGATTAATAATATAGGCCAGGGTTATGCCAAATTTGCATTGCTTCTACGTGCACAAAGGAGAGAAAGAATGGACCAGGCTCCCTTATCCATTCAGCAGGTCACAGGACTGCTCCTGTTCTGATGAACCTCTCACTGCTTCACTCGGGTTCCTCACCCGCTCTGGGCCCATGAAATTTGCTCTGTCCCAGACTGCAAGGCAGCTGTGCTGGGGACAAGGAGGACTACAAACATTCCAGGACAAGTACATGTGTGAGTCACTGCAGAGATGAGGCAGCCAGGATAGTGCTTACAGTGAACCAGAAAAGCAGCTGTATTGAAGGACCCTCTTAAGACCTGAATTCCGTGTTGTTGTGTAACACAAACTGTGCAGAAATGCACGGCTCTTAAGCCTATATATTTTTTTTTTAAGGGGAGGTCCATCAACTGGCTCCAAAATGTGCTCCCTGCTTGCCTTGACTGCCTCTCTCTTCCAGCATGTACCACCTGCAGAAAGACCCCTCACCCCTTTCCTCTCCCACAGAGCCCACTTCACCTTACAAGCTGCTGTGAACTGGGGACTCTCTCTGCATACAGTCCTTGTCTTACTGGCCAACAAGCTCTGCTCCAAAGGCCAGATTCTGTTGGTGAATCTCCATGGCACTGACAGGAGCCAGCACACTGAGGGAAGCCCAAGCTGCTTTGGGTCATTGAGATATTAATTTAGATTTTGCTCTTTAAGATATTTTTCTGCCATAGCAAAGAGTGATGGGTATGGCAGTATTTAATAGGGCTTTGTAACTAGGAGAGACAAGAGGCTGCAGCAAAAGCAGTTGCTGTGCACATGTGAGGCTGTATTTACTATTCTGAACCAAGAAGGACATTTTAGCCTGGCTTTCTAAAGAAACAACGCTTATCCTCTCCTGCTGCTTTTCCATCTGTTTCCCCTCTGATAGTTCCTCAGCAAATCTGAATCCCATTGGCCAGTGTCAGCCAATTTTGACCATGGAACAGTGTGCACTTCCCTCTGCGGAGAGGCGGGTGCCTGGATGCAGGAGAAGGCAGGGATAGCCCATCTCTTTCATTAGGAAAGAACAGAGCCAACTGGACCGGAGTGTCAGCTTGGCCTGTCAGCCCATGCTTGGCTTTGGGTCCACCACAGCTTGTGCCCAACCACACAGTCTGGGTAAGACCTTGGCTACCTTGGCTAATAACTGTGCCTGGTGGGGAGAGTTTCCTCCCTGACCATTGTGCTAATCAGCTTAACCCTGCAAGATGACATCTGATAAACCTGGGCTCTCTAAGAAAGTATCATGTAGTTATGTTGTGTTTGTGTGAGTCAAAGTACCCTAATAGGAGATCATATATTATTAAACTCTTAATTTTCTCAAGAATTTATGTTTTGACTGACAATATTTTGAGGAAACCCTTTGAGGGATGTCTTTTTGTAGAGCAATTACAATTGTTACTATAAACACATGCCCCTGTCAGTCCCTCTGTCTGACCTTGCACCATCAGATAAGCAGGCTTAGCCTTCACATGTCTATAGGGATTACTTTATATCTGTCCACAGCGGTGACTGGGATAAAGTGATATTTTCTGCAAATACAGTTTAGCCTTTAGGAAGTCACTGCTTACTCATGTGTTAACCTCAGATCTGAGCAGGTGACCAAAGGCAGGCAGACTGCAGCTCGCCTGTACTAGTGAGCTATAAATAAAGAGGAGCCTGCAGCTACAGCTGCCCGTACTCTGCTGCAGGTAAATATTTGTCCATGGAAGCTCGGTGAGGGCAGCTTGCTCTCAGAATGGCTGACCACAAATCCCCACAGGAGACTGCAATAAAAATGATTTGGTGGCATCAGGTGCCACAAGGTATTAAGACTCCCAGGAAAAAAAAATAACAGTTCAGTTCATTATCTCAGTGACAGGTTGTTGACACAGAAAAGTAGTATTTGATACCAGAGACTCAAATAATGAAGAGTCAGAAGCCAGCTCAGGAGATCACCAATGTCTACCTCTTAGGCTAAGGCAGGTGCAAGTACATCAGGATCAGCCTAAGCATATTTTAAATATCTCAAATGGCAAATATTCTACAGTCTTCCTATCAAGCATAACATTTGTGATCTATTTTCTTTCTAATGGGTATTCCATTCTCATTCTCTGAGCTTCATCCTCCATGAAGTGTATCCAGCCTGTGACTTTGATTACAACTGTCCAAGTTTTCATGAGCTGCTTTCCTATGTTCCAGTGTCTTTGCTGGGTTGTAAATCTGACAGCAGCAATCATTTTGAATATCCTACTTTCCCAATACATTTCAGGATGGGGAGGACTCCTGATTCCAGCTTTGTAAAAGCTGATTTCTGACATGCTAATGAAAAACTACAAGGTAGAGAGGCTACAGTGTAGGACAGTTTGAGAGAACTGCCCCTCCTGACTCCTTGCAACACCCTGGAGTTTTGTGTAGCCACAGCAGTTTGACTGATCTACTCTTCATCCCTACATGTCTCTGCTCCTTTGTGCTCCTGTGTGTGGTGATGAAATCCAGTGCTGAGGGTGTGCAGAGCCCCAGCTGGGGTAGAAACATCAAAGCCCATGGAAGAGGCCACTCAGCAGAACAGTCTGTTGGGGCACATTCGACAGAGAGTGAGGGCCACATGAGCGAGACACTGCAAAAGCAGAGAGGGCAGAGAGCAGAGGAGGGAAAAAGGGGTCACCACACCACCCTAGCACCATCATCACCCCCTGCCACTGCTTTGCCAAACTCCTCTGCCAGCAGCACCAACACCAGATTTCTTACTTTTGCCCCTTAAAGGCCTTTTGTGGCCTCTTTTCATGCAGTTCAATTGTCTCCATTTAACAAAGCACAACACTCATTGATAAGGTGCTTTTTCCACACTGCACCATGTAGCAAAGGACACCATGACATCACCTTCAAGGTCATCCTATAAATTCCTTCCTAAAATTATTTGTCACAAGCTCTGTGGAAAACACAGTGAGAGCGAGACTGAAGGCAGCATTAAATACCCTGCCAAGCACAGACCTCTGCTCTGACTCTCGACTTTGAGCATGGGAGCATCTCTGTTGTGCTATATCCCATATTGGGCTGGGTTACTGGCACATGGGCCACCTTTCTCTTTTTTTCTTTGCACAATGGGCACCCCAGTAGAAAGCTGGAGCCCTGAGCTGAGACACAGTGAATAAGCAAGTTGGTCACAGCAAAATGGAGAGTGAGTATCAGTCCTTTTAATGTCAGAACATTCTTGAAGCTTTGTTAATACAATTTCAGTATTATTCTTTATGAAACAACCATGTTTAACCAAGATTACCAGATTTTCCCCTCTCTAATTTTAATGTAGTTTTATAAAATGGACACATTTGGCATGTCATCTGAAAACATTAACCAGGGAGTTAAGAGGTGAGGCTCTTGGGTTTAAAGCAACCATTTAGTAGATAGATAAATGAATTGACTAAGTGCTACCCCATTTGTCAAAGAGCTATTATACCTGATTTTTTTTTTTTCCTGGTCTAGTTATAAGCTATTGGTTAATGGGGTAAGATTAGATTTTTACAGAACTCTATGCAGATCATTTTCTTGGAAAACATTTTGAAGAGCCTGCCTGTCCAGAATATGAGAGGTGATGTTCCACTGCTGTCTGATGGATTGGTCCTCAAACAGCAGGACTGCAGCTGCAAGTGGTAGCTTGTGGCTCCTCCATTAATGTTTCTGCACTAGCACAGGAGAGCTGTAATAAAGAGAAATGACATATTAATGTGGAAGAGAGTTCAAAGCCCTCAGATCTGAGCATCATGGGACATTAAGGAAATTTAACATTTGATCTAGAGCAGGGCTACTTGGCCTGGAGAGCCTCAGGTCCAAAGTCATCACATCTTAAAATTCTGTGTGCAGACTGTTTAACTTGGGCTTATCTGTCCTCATGAGATTAATCCAAATAAAGAATAATACTAAGGTAACTTCCTGACAACAGGATCCCAGAGCAACAAAGAGTCATCTCAAACGATACAAATACTAGGTAATGTAAAACCTGGATGGATAAAACAGTGTCTATTAAATATAACAAAAGTTATCCTGAACCAGTGGGGATAGAAGTTGGAGCAGATTTTTCCCTATATTTTCCCTACATTTTCCATTAATATTTTCCTCTGAAAAGTCCCCTGCCTTTCCCATATTCTAACATCTCAGTCAGGCTGGGAAGATACAGAGGGAAAACTCTGGGACATTCCAGGGTTACGAAGTATTTAATCCCTAGGACACCCTTATCTGAAGTTGGTTGAGACCATTCAGACAGAAATAGGTCCCATCCTAACAGAGAGTAAAGGGAACAGAGGATGTTTTCTAGTGGATAATTGACAGGATTCCACAAAGTCACCACCAAGGCACTATAGACAAGCTATTTTTTTTTAGCCCTAGCAGTGAGGCTGAAGGATGCATAAAACACAGAAAGGCTCTGCATAAGGTGAGGGGCAATTCCCTATACACTCAGCAGGGCTTATTTGCCTCAAACAAAAGGTCTTGAAGAGGGTGGTGTTATTCCTTCAGTACATATCTCCTTTGATGCTCCCTTTTTTTATCAAGCAACAATGATCTCCTTCCACAGTGTATCCTTGACCTTACATATGTTCATTCCCAAGCTCTTCATATCATTCTGTTTTGCTCTTTACTCCTCCCTTGTTATACTTTCCTTAGCAAACAGAGTCTCATGATGCTGTCTGTGGCTGGCAGGAGCTCCCTCAGCACTACCCCAGATCTCACTTGCTGTTCTCTGTTAAAATCCTACTCAGGAGGCCCAAATGCCTGAACAAAAGCTGGCAGCAAGAAGGTCGACCTACTGCTCTCATGTTCACTTTTAGCCCATAGTTGTGCTGTGCTCAGTTTTTTTTCTCTGCCTTGAAAACTGTTTGGGAGCATCTTGGCCATTTTGCTCTGGGTGTGTGTCGCAGGCAGTTGAGAGGATTGGATACTCTGATTGGCACCCCTGTGTTTTATGAACAAAATGTTAATATTGTGAATAGTGAGCTGCTTTAGGACCACAGCTTGGGAAGTTCAGCCTTGCAGAACTGAAAGAGGACTTGCAGTTGAGGTCCAAAATAGCCTGTGGCTGCCTCACCAGGGAGGCTGGGATGACAGGCACCCAGCTTCCTAGCAGGTGCTCATTTCTTTCATGTGGAGCTACTGTTGGAGGTCAGGGCCTCTTAATTGGAACATGATGTGACTGCATCACTTCTGTTACAGTACAAAGAACAGAGTCATCCCACTGACACTGAGAACAGGCCTCTCAGTGAGGTGAATAAATAACAGACTCTGTCACTGGAAACCTGTGGTGGTGTCAGTACAAAACAGGGGATAACAAGAAAGAGGTGCTCCATATCAGCTACCATATCAGATGTATTGTCTCTCTCCAGGTTTTGTCTCAGAAAGCTCCCACCACTTTTTTGGGGTTCTGCAAGTGTTCAGTTATGAAACATGTTCATCAAGTCATGGAAATATTGGCTGAAAGTCCCCTCTGGGGGTCTCCTACTGCAAATGTCTTCCCTAAAATCCAACCCGGCTCTCTCAAACTGCAAACCTTGGACACCACCCCTTATATTGTCCACTGCGCCCGAAAACTATCTGCTGTTTGTGTCTCTCTGCTGGATGGTTGTGGCCACCTCCAGCTCACCTCACCCCAGCCTGAGCAAGTGCAGCTCCCTCCAGCTCTCCGAGGGCACATCCTGCAGGCCCTGAACATGCAGCAGCCCCACTGGGCTCTGCCAGCTTCCCCACATCCCCTTGACCTGGGAAGGAAAACCAAGGCTGGACACAACTCAGGTACAGCCTCCCCACCACCAAGCAGTCTGGAATAAATAACTTCTCTCAGAACTGGCTGTCCTCCACCCCAGGAACACACACACACAGGTTTTGTGAGGGAGGAGGTGCTGTCAAAGGCACTCATAGGTTCTTTTTACCCAGGAAGTTGTCCAACCTCTGTTAAGGTTTGAATCTAAAATCTCCTCCAGCAAGTTTTACAGATTTCTTGCACAGTGTGTGAAGGACCACTTCCTCCTGTGGATAGCTTGCTAATTGCTAGTTTCATTTCTTGATCTCATACAAGAAAGCACAATGAACCATTTATCATCCCCCTACCCTTCCTGATTTTACAGAGCTCTATAGAAGTGATAAAAAAAGAGGACACAAATACATGAGGAAGACAAATGCTATATTCTGCTTTTCTGTCCTTTTATTTCCTGAAACATGTGATTCCTCACACTTCATTTGAGCATCACCTTTGGAGATTGTCTCCCATTGTTTCCTTCTCCTTTGTCTTTAACAGCACTGCACTAGTGAACAGCAACTAGGAGTAACTGAGGTCATAAACAACTATTTTCCTGCTCATTTACCTGTGTTGTTCTGGCAATTGCTTAATGGTAAACATATGACTTACTGACACAGTTTAGACCACAATGCTAACAAATTTAATTCCTTGCCTTTGAAGGACAGGCTAATACAATTTTCCTCTGCATTCCTCCAGGCCATAGAGTCAAGAACAGCCACAGGCAGAAGTGCTCTCAAGACCCCCAGCTGCATTATCATCTGAATTTCATTAGGATTCTGAATAATGCCGCTGATTAAGTTGACTGGGAAAAAAAAGGCAATCTAATCTGTTAAAGAGCTGCAAAAAAGAGCTGTAATTCTTTCCCGAAAGATTGTTTTAACTTCTTGCTCTGCTAATCTGATGCTTGTGTTTATGAGGACAGGTAGTATGCATCCTCCAGAAACAGTTTTAATGTCTGCTCAACATATGCTGTTTACATGATTTCGAAGTCACTGATCTTGCAGGCAGTTTGAAATTCAGCAAAGAACAAGGGCTGAAGAGAAGGAGATAGCCTTCAGGTTAGGAAGAACTAGCTGAACCCTACAGAAACTAACCCCAGCCTCCAGAAAAACTTTGCTAGAGCAAGGGGTTCAGGCAGGGGTACACTTCTAAGCCTCTCCTCTGAATCTGACACAGGCAAGAAGACTCCAAGCCCTCAACATGTTCTGCACATCCAAGGTTTGCTGGAAAATAAGCTGGCTGTCTCCATGGAGTGGGAAAACTGATGTGGAGTACAGCTGGTGGTGTCCTGCTAATACCAAAACAAGGGGCTCCCACTCTTCACTCTGTTGACTCAGTTATCCTGAGTCTATCACCAAGGGAGGACAGTGTGTGTCCTGTGAGTGGGAGATGATGATGTAGGAAAAGCAAACAGACTCTCTATGGGAATGGGAATTATCAGGAGGGCTGACAGTAACCCTTGCCAGGACTTTCCCCGTTCTTATTAACCATCCAAAGCAAACTGAACTGCTTATTCCTGGGCCATGAGGTTAAAGGTGGTCTCTGTTTAACACGCAGGTGTGCTGACAGGGAGGCAGGCTGGACTGTGAGGTTTTTTATGCTGCAGAGCCACCCCATATAGAGGAAAGTTCCTAGGACTACATGCAGAGGTGGACATGACCTTGCAACAGGGAAGAGGCTCAAGGAGACACAAGGCAGCAGCAAGAATGCTTGATATGATCCTTTGGATTGACTGAGTGCAAGTTGCTGTTCGGGTGGTGCTTGGCCTACAGTTTAGAAAACAGTTTCTTGTGCAATAGATCGTAATTCCTTAGAGTAGCTGGATCTTAGTTTTTCCTCCCCGATGCCTCGGTGGTGGCTCGTCTCCTAAAATTGTTAAACGGCACCACCTTGTGGGTATTGGGAGGTGCGGAGACTTTTCAATCATTCCACGTGCGGAACCTGTAGGGGTACATTTGAATAGCGAGCCATGCAAAGGGCGATTCATTCTCACGATGCTTCTCAAAGACCGGGCACTCATCAAGAGGTGCCTCTCTGCTTGTTTGCTGCCAGCTGACAGAAACAGATTTTAGTGCTTAGGGGTTGATTTTCAGAGCTTAACTGGTTTTGCCTTTGCTAGAAGTTGTGTTGGAAAACTGTAAACAGACAAAATAATTGACACTTTCCAATTATAGAGAAATTGCAGAGGAAAAACACTGAAATACACATTAAAGATCATCTGCCCAGGATGCCACTTCTTATGTTTTTTCCAAGGTGTGAAATCTATGTGTCAACTTGTCCATGCATCACACAATTCCCTAAACTCCTGGAAGTAAGGTGTAGTGGAAGAATTTACCATATTGTACTCTTGAGTTTGCCTTTAGGGATTACCCTGGCTATGACAGACAGCACACATCGTAAACTGCAGTTTCTGGAAAGCATCAGACATATGTTTGTGAATAGAACAGCCTGTACATCGACTCCAAGACTTTCCAGAAAGCACTGGCTGCATGTTGTGTAATTTATACAGCATTAGGATTCACTTTATTATGGGTATGCAGGAACCCAGGATGCTAAACAGGAGCTATGGGACAGTATGAGTGTGCATGCATGGAGTACCACGTTTTTTGGTCAAGTGGGATTATCATGTATACATCCAAGAAGCTCCATGAAATCTACCCAGAAAAGATTTTGCAGAGTGCATAGGATGATGTGTCCTAAAATAACTGGTATATTGTAGCCTAAACTACATCAAGAAAATGGAACAGAATCTTGAGCAGACACAATAATACAATTCTATTGTCCTCTGAGAGAAACAATAAAAACATAAATAAATACAAATGGTTAAACTGCCAATTAAAATTTTCAAACCTGCTTCTCAAACTCAGTTTCATTTGTGGAAGGAGCATTTTCCTTTTACAGTGTTGCCTCCCAGTTTTTTTCTAGGCAAAGTTACAAGGGCTGGATGCAAGGCTGTGCCAGAGATGTGCTGAGACACCACGGGCAGAACAACATGGTCAAAGCAATGTGGTCCACAAAGTGAGGAGAGTGCCAAGAAAAGGGATTAGGAAAGCCTGCGAGGGGATTAGAGAAGTTTCCAAGAGCAGGCATTATTAGGATAGGAGTGGGAAGGCACCAGGCCAGTCAAAGCAAGACTGCAAGGGGCAGTTTGCTGTGTGTTCCAAATAACCCTAGGCATCCACCAGGGTAACCCCACCTCAGGTGTTGCATGAGCACAGAGTGAATGACAGTCCTGTCCCCAGAGCTCCTACAGCCTAACAATAGCCCGAGATGTGCTGAGGGGAGAGCAGGTGGGTGGTGTGAGAGGCAGCAGTGCTGGCACATCAGCAGCCAGCGCTCTGTGGGTGCTTTTCCCAGCCATGACAGTGAAGCACAGTTTAAAGCAGGGATCTGGAAGAGGAAAATGAGCCAGTCTTGGAGACAGCGATGGGGATTTCCTCTTCACTGCCCTGAACACACTGCCTGTGTGGGAGAAAAGATGAAGATGCTTACTTGGAAATTCAGAAGACTGATGACAGCAGTGACCTCTGGAATAAATCAGAGACTGCTGTCGATATCCAGTTGTTGAAGAGCAATGGTAAGAAGGAAGGGAATTTACAGGCTGATGAGATCAGCAGTGAATGTTTGCAAAAAGGATTAAAGGAAGTGAGGGAGCCCCTCTAGTGGGAGAATCCAAGAAAGGCAATATAAGCAATTAGCTGGCAAAATGATTCTAATGGAGCATTCAGGATGGTTGCAAATGTGAATCAAGATTATCCCAGAATGAACAGCGTGGCATCATTTATATTATTCAAGGTAAAACCCCCTCGAAACTGAAGAAAAGATACAACAGTTTCTACCCAGCTGATCACAAGAAAAGCTTTTCCTGGTGAAGGAGCCAAGCCTGAGCATGTGAGCAGAACACCCCTGTTATGCACACAAATTTTAAATCATGTAGAAACAGTAGCGTATTTCATAGTCTTTTAGCCTGGACTTCAGAACTCCATGTTCATTCACTAGGTGCTAAGGAAGGTCACAGAGACACTAAAATGCTCAAATTAAATATAGGTCCCACCTCTTGTGTGAATCTAAGCCAGAAAGACTTGCAGCATGTCAAAAATAATAATACAATGGGAAAGGAAAAAGGACTGTCTGCCTCTATTATTGAGGGAAACACTAACTCTGTCCACCTCAGTTTCCAATTTGTAAAGTAGCGTGAAGAGCAGTTCTTCATTTATATAAAAAGGCACATATCAAAAATCATGAAGGCTCTGAAATGCCAGCATACTCAGGAGAGGGAACCAGCTTAGTGTCTGGGCTTGATGTATAGTGACACCAACATTAACAGCTTGCAGATTCTGTTTTAGCGCTGAGCTGCCAAACAGGACAGCAGACCAGCAGGGCTGTGCTGGGAGAGGACAGCTCCAGCTGCAGAACAGGCTTGCTTATGACAGCCACCTTCTGCTCCAGGAGCTGTGGCTGTCAGGAGGACAATGCCTCTGCCTGATAAAGAGGATGAGGAAGATAATATCCATTAGACACCTGTAATAGTTTAAAACTTGGATTGTATCCTGCAGCAACTCATTCAATATTTCCACCTATTTATGTAGTGTTTTAGGGCTGTATTTGACAGGCTTTAAGGTAAACATGGTATTGCTGGCACACTGACAGCTTTTTTTTTGGCATTGCATTTACAGAGTCTTTACATAGAATGAGTTGATGTGTGATTCATGTAAATACAGATTTTTTTTTTTTTTTTTTTTTTTTTTTTTTTGAGCAGATGTGGCCCCTCAATGTAAGCCTAAAAACAGTTGGGGTGTTGCTGGAATTTATTTACAAACCTCCAAGCCAGCAGTTTCAAATCTGGGTTAAAGTTAGATGCCTGTTTCCATGACAGATGGTCTCATTTTGAGGAGTGAGTCTTGACAACTGGGGCTGGCTGGGAGAGTGAATTTCTGTTTCATAAAGATGATTCTATTTTCAGGATATTTTCAGATCCCAGTTCAAGATTTAAATCTCCAAATTCAAATATCGTTTAGGGATGAACAACATTTCATCTTGTCAGCATCAAGGCTCCTGCTGATCTCTGGCTGCTGTCAGTGTTTATTCAGGCTGCTGGAAGAATGAGGAGTCCTGGCTCTGTTGTCACCTGCCTGACAGAGCTGTGGGGTGTCAGGAGTGAAGGCTGGCTGGGAACCTTTCCAGGGGGCTGTGTGCTTCCCAAGTGCTCTGGTGCTCAGGGAACAAGCCTGAGCCGGTGGGCTGTCCCTGTCTGACTTGGCACGGCAGGATTGGGGCAGGGGGTCCCTGTGCTCCACAGCAGCCCTGGAGGTAAAACGACCAGAGAAAGGTTGTCATAGAAACCCTGATTGTTCTTTAGCCCTGACAGGATAGGATCTCATCAGAGGTTTTTTTCTGGAGCAACTCAGAGGAGAAGCATTTCCGTAAAAATGTTCTAATCCTTCCACTGAAGACTCCAGTTGACTCCAGTTGCATTGAACAAGCAGTGCCTGCTGCTGATCCAGCCTACAGGAGATGAGGTGTGGGCACAGCACAGTGCCACCCTCCCCTCCTGAAGCAACAGCTCTGACATGGGAGAGGAGACCCCACTCTTGTCACACAGGGTGGCTGCTGAAGCGTGTGAAATCACACGAGGTGTCTGACATTGGTACTGAGGAGCTCCGGGTTATTTTCCCTGGCCTTCAGCTACTTTTGTGGAAAGGTAGGGAGCTCCAGTGGCTCCATCTCAAATGGCACAAGATGTTACATTTCAGGGCAGCAGCCCCCTGGCAGTTGTCTGTCATTATCAACACCACTGCCAGGCAAAGCAAAGGGAGGGCATGTCCTGTATCTGGTGAATGTCACCATGATCCTTGCCAGGGAAAGCTGCATCTCTCCAGTCCAACTCCTGGCCCCCAGAGCCTGGATTTTTATTCACTGACCACAGCTTGGTGCAGAAAGGCAAAGCCTGAGAACAAGAGGAAAAGGGCAGAAACCACACTCAGTGTGCTACACACAAGACAACTGGGGCATGAGCTGCTGAGCAGAGGAGAGCTTGCAGTCCCAGAACATGGATGTAGGCCATGGCCCTCCATTACTCTGCATTATTATTAGGGTGGCACCCAGAGGAATTTTGCTGCCAGTGGTTTAACTCCTCTTCTTCTTCAAATTATTTCATATGCCACTAAGAAGAGGGCCAGACTGATTTTTTTTTGTTGTTTGATTTCAGTACCTTGTAATTGACATCTTGAAGGAGTGTTTGCACAGATAGTCTGATATGTCTCACCCAGAAAGCTGCTTGTAAATAGCTTCTACTTCTTAAGTTTTGACCTAAAGAAAACAAAAACAATAAACCAAAACCAAAACCACCCAAAAGAAAACCAGCATTCAACTGACACTTATATCAAAAATTTAAGCCATCCTTCTAAATGTCAATGATCTGAAAGTTCTGCTGATTTCTTTCCACCTTTCACTTTTGGATACTTTGCAGTAAAAGTTTTTTCTTCATCATCAATTATAAACTTTATCAAAAGCGGACAGTTTTGCTCATGATGAGCAGAAGACTCTTTTTAAACAAAATATAGGAGTCATTACCTTAAATCCTGCATTATGCCGAGGCAGTCCAACATCCTTTGGTGCATTACTGACAAGTATTTAATTCTTTTTAATTAGTCACAAATAAAATTTATTTTTCTGTACTGAATCAAGTATATGAGCCAGAGGCTTCAGTCAGCAGAAGGGTGACTTTGTGAAGATCTTTCAATTTCCTGTTCAGTTCAGTGGCTGTTGGCTGAGATGTCATTATGGGCTGTTAGGCACTAGCAGCTGTTTCAGGGTTTCTGGTATTGATAGTATTTGTATGGTCACACAGCTCAGAGGTGTCTAGGATGGTATTTCCCTGGGTGCTGATGAAGGAACACTGAGGCAGCTCTCCACAGGAAGCTCACACTCCAAGCAAACACTGTACCTCAATGGACTTAATGGGAATTTAAAAGTGCTCAAAGCATTTGTGAGGCACCAAAATGCTCCTCTGTTAAGTAGCCTTACGGAATTTCCTGCTTTCATTTTGCAATGCATCTGCTCTTGAGTGAATTCTCAGTGGCTGACTTCAAATATACATTAAACCATGAAGATGTATGAAAATAGTGACCAGCTGCAGATTAGCAAGGGTCTGAACTCATTATATGTGACAGTAGAAGCAATTTGACACTGTCTGAGTCATCACAAGTGGCCTCTCCAGGGAATCCATTCTTCCAATACAAATCTTTGAACAAAGCATTAGAGAAAATAAAGTCCAGAGGAAACTTGCTTGGACAAATACAATTTTCAGGTAGTTCTGAAAAGCTTATTGTTGATCAGACTGTCCACTTCTCCCAGATTAAAAATCATTTGCAGATAAAAAACACTGGAAAGTGTGGAGAACAGTGGTGAGTAGTTATCTTTGTCTGTGGATGAAGTATTTTGTCTGTGAGACAATAAAATGCAGGGCATAGGAACTGGCACTCTTGATGACTGAATTAACTTTGAAATCTGTCTCAGTCTCTTGGACCTCAGAAGACACTCAAAAGACTTTCCTGACAAATAATTTTGTAATTACACTGGGGCTTAAGATTGTTTTCAGCGACCTCCAGCAGTTAATTATGGGCTCATAAGTCACAGATTATGGGGTTTTACAGAGCTGCACACAGCTTGGATTTTTCTTTTGTAGTGGATTCAATAAAAATAATTTTGAAAAATATATTAATGTCTTTTTGGACCATGAATTTTGTTGACAGATGCAGTGAAACTGTTACATCCTGCAGAGCAGCTCAGACTCATGTCACTGACATTTCCCCCACAAAAATACCCAGAAGTTAACTTTCTAAGCAACTCTTGTTTGCAATAGCAATACAGCACAAAAGCAACTACGAAGGTTCAGACAAATTTGTCATCATTTTGTTAGGAGTGGTACAGCTGTAGTTTTTAATTTATTTGCCTATCTACATGGTGGTAGGACCTTGGAATTGCAGTTTTGGTGTAGTGTCACCTCCTGCATATTCACAGAACACATAACAAAGACCTGAATTTAAAGAAAAAATAAAAACTTTGGAGACTGCCAAACGTTTAGCCTCACCTAGCACTGAATTCCGCAGGTTAATTATGGCTGGTGTAAAAAAGCATTGCTTTTTGTCAGTATTGGAAGCTAAATGTATTCATGCGTTCCTGAATGCTTTCTCAGCAATTGACAGCCTTGACATTTACATAGGGGTGTGGTGAAACAGGGCACTGACACCGGTAATCATGACGAGGAAGGAAAGCATCCAGTGATGTAAAACTGTTTCACAGTCTGCCTTTCCCTGGAAAAACAGCATCTGTCTCAATGTAGGCACAGACTGTCTGCAAGGGCTTTTTTTGTTCTTTAAACAGAACTCAGCTGACAGGTTACTTTCTGGAAGAGGCATGGTAATCTGTCTATTTATGTACTGCCTTTGAGAGATGTAGCCTCAAATTAGGATAGGAATTGGGAACTGAAACAAAAGAGTTTACAGAAATGGGAGACACCGGGATTCTTGGAGTGTAGGCTCTGTGCAATCGGGTCTCAGAAGCATTTTTTAAAAATAGAATTATAAGAGCTTTGTTGTTTTTATAGCTGATTAAACTGAGCTGACATCTCATCCTCCAGACATGAGCACACTGCTTGATCTAACCCACATTGTGGCAAGGCTGCTCTTCCCTTAACGGAGAGAAATATCTTGCTCCTACCAGGCAGTGAGATGACAAATGAGAAAACCTCATTTCTGGTTTAGTCCCAATGGCCAAAAGCTGCTGTTCACTTTTTCTTTCTCCAGAAGGTGTCTTCATTCACTTTTCCCCCCACAGTTCTTCTCATTGCTCCCTGTAACTTTGTACAGAGGGGCAGGAGGAAGAAATGACAGGGAAAGGTTGCAAAGCCTGAGCCCCACTCTCAGCATGCAGTACACAAAGCCTTTCTGCTTTGGCTTATTCCAGAAACAGGACCCAGAGGAACCCTCTGTCCCTGCAGCACAGTTTGGCCATTGCTGGCAAGAGGCTGCAGGTTCTGTACAGAGTTTCCAAAGGCTCACAACCAAGGCCTGCCAAACTTGCTTTGCCTGCACTACTACAGAGTACTTGCTGCTTTGTTCCAGTTTGGTTGAGCTGTAGGGACACTTCTTCCCTCTCAGCCAGCGGCCTGTGGCTTATGGGGTTTACTTTCCCTGGCACTGCATGGCAGAAACATGGGTTTATAGCAGCTCCTTTGTGCACTACGAGGTGTTCACAACTCCAATTCGAGCTAACAGAGGTCATCGTGGGCTTGGTGTGACAGGAGAGGAGCTGCAAAGTGGAAGCACAGGGTGCACTGAGAGGGGCTGAAGGCCCAGTGGGATGGGAAGAGATGGGGCACAGGCCTCTGACTCTGGAGCACTCCCAGCTACAAACCACTCACCTGCAGACAGCTAAAGAAGTGCAGAGCTAGACAAGAATGGTTTCAGGGATAGAAAAGAGGACAAATAAGTAATATCTTATATGTATAGAACCAGCATCTATTGAGAATGTGGATGTGAAATGGAGTTGCAATCCAGTGAAGAAAAAGCAGGTGTAAAAGTATGTAATAAATCATAAAACTGACCCCTAGGAGAAACTGGAGTGAGGAAGAAGAAACCATCACCATCAACCTCACATTCCTCCCACAGAACAACTCCAGATGCTGATGATTTCCTGTAACACCACCATCAGAATGAAACTAAAACCTTAGTATTTAGATGAGCTTGGACAGGGGGAGCATAACATCAGGAATAGGGATAGAAGATAAGAAGTGTGCAAAAGGCTTCAAATTATTTAAAAATTATTATTATTGGTATTGAAATAATTTCTGATAGGAGTATTGTCTCTTTTTCTGGAATAATTTGCCTATAATCATGCCAAGATTTCAGTTCTATTAACATTCAGTTCTTGTCTTTATATGTAAGATATGTTTCCCTTTTGCCCAGAAACAATATTTTGAGCATAACACTGGAAGAACATTTCTAAATAGCTCAGAAACATTCTGTATTTTTCACAGGTTCAAAATAACCAAATATTTTATAAGCTGAAATCACTATCAAATGGGAAAAATGCATCGGCCCTGGTAAGATCTAAAGATGAAAAGATAAATGGTGTTTTGGGAAAAATGTGCTTTTGTTTTTCCTTTCAAACCTGTTCCTGCTGTCTTGGATGCTCTCTCTGTGAGTCAAAACTGATCCTATTCCTCTTCTAGACTGCACTTTGTCAAAGAGGAAAGCCACAACAAACACCTTATGAATTAGGAGTCATTATTTTTAGCCACAGATCAAAATTTAAAGAAATAAATAGAAACTTCCAAACTCCTAGTCTTCTTCTAATTCCTCAGTGAAGCTTTCCATATCAATGTCTTCCATTTCTAATGGTTCTGTAATGTTTTACAGATGTATTATGCTTACAGTAAATCCAGTAGCAATGCATTGCCATCAAAAAGGTGCCTGTAGCACTAGCTTTTCTAAACTCCTGGAGAAAAGAAAAAGAAGAGGCCAAGGCCAAGAGCCACCAGAGCAGACAGACCTGTGCCATAAAGAGGTGAACAAACCACCTGAGGGACTCATAGTTTTGGGCTGGGCTTCCTAGGCAGGATTACAGTGTAACATATAATTACAAGGTACGGTGTAATTACAGATGTTTTCATATCCTGGACATCCTGGAGCTGTGGTGTAGAGCTGATTGGCCAGAAGCCTCATGGCCATTCCTGATTCTGGGGTTTTGGCTTCCCTCTTCATTGGAGATACTTGCAGAACGTTTTTCTCTTGACTTCTATGCGTCTCTGCACCAAGACAACTCACAGGACTACCTAAAATCAATCTGTAGGACTAAGAGCATGGTCCAGATGCTCCTTGAGCTCTGACAGGCTGGGTGCTGTGAGCATTTCCCAGGGGAGCTTTATCTTAACATCTGCAGCAGGTGAGGGTTACTTAATGGCTATAAAGCTTTGGAAGACGTGCAAGATCTAGATCCAATTTTGTGAGTGGCTTTGTTTTTCTCCTTGGATGACTCCAAACAACATTTGGAGATCTGATACTTGAATTCTCTCTAGTTTGAATATACTTACTATATGTTTGTCTTCTTGTGAAATGAAAATAAGGATTTCCTAATATGCTGTATTTTCCCTTAAAGGGAAACCCTGTTTTCCTACCAAAATGGTGAGATACCATTTTATTGCAATCTGTTGATTTATAGGATGTGTGGAAACCCTCCTTCCTTAGACAGAGCTTGCCATAAAGGACTCTTAGTTAATTTATTTTCTGTGAATTTAATTTTGGTCAGGTCCTTCTGCCTCATCTAATAGAACCTTCCCCGTCAAACCTGTAGGCCCTGGTCCTCTGTGTTTTACCAGGATGCTGCACAAGTCTGCCTAATCCCACTTTCCCTCATTGCTTCAGGCTCTGACAGGAGTCCCAAAGCAGGACATCTAAGAAATGCTTTGATCAAAGCTCCCCACCTGCCAGTGAGGTTTGGCCATTAACCTTTTTTTTATGCCCTTGCTGTGCAGCAGGGGCACTCCAGGTATTTCCTTGCTAAACAAAGGAAGGCGTTTAAACCCAGCAATCTACTTTATGACTCTGGGCACCGTTACTGCACACACTGTTTGCCTCTTTTCTCTGCAGAGATTAATGCTGGCATCTTAAACATTACTAATGCCTTATAGACAATCCATTAACATCAGTGTCTCCTAAGTGGCCAGCCATACCATTATTTATAAAACAGGGATCCTTTCCTAGTGCTAGCAGTACCGATCGCTTGATTTTCCGAGCATGGAATCATGCCTATTATCAGCACTGGAGTATTTTACACTGCTACATATTTTTTACTATATAATGAGCTGTGTGTGTGTGAGTGACATGGAAAAAACCCCCATAAAATAGCAGAATATTGCTATTCCACTTGCTGCAGTGTATGAGCTGATCTGGTTAGACATGAAATGCAGACAGAAATCCGCCTCACCTCTCAAGCTAATTTTAGTCTCTCCCTCTGTTCTCTGTGGCTGTGTGTGTATAAAATCACTGGCAGTCTGACAGCATTTCAGTAACCTGTGCCACACGCAGAGCGGGATGTACTCACCAACCATCTGCTTGCATGGCATGGGTTAACTGAGCCTGTGGGATTGTGCTTACCTAAACAAAACCACTGCAGTGAGGGGAAAAACAATGAATGGGTGGAGATGATCAGCCCATGCATTCCAGCTAGTGCAGTCCAGGCAGCAATGACAGCCTGAAGGTTGCAGCAGCATCGGGATCAGCATTCCAAGTGCACCAATCTTACAGTCTGGAGTGATTTTACGTGGAGCTGTTCTTTATTTGCTGAGCCATGGCCAGTAACCAGGCCAGCCTGCAGGATGATCAGAGCAGGCACTGCAAGTTCTTATCCTATATGTTCTACCAGGCTGTGAGAGATCACAAGCCTGTGTGGATGCTGGAAGACATGAGAACTATGGAGTATTTTTACTGGGAGGAAAATGCCAGCCTACGAACCTACTCACCTTCAGAAGCCCTTCTCTATGCAGTGGTGCATAATCACCTGCCTTATGCCCAGTATCTGCTGTCTCATTTTCCAGAGGAGGCTCTCAAGGTGCCTGGGGAACACTTCTGCTATTGCCCATCCTCTGCTCCTCACCTGGCCATGGCGGTCACATATGACAGGAGAGATATCTTGGGACTGATCATCAAAATTGCACACAAGCTCCCCAGCTTGAACTCCTATATCAATAGGGCTGGCTGCTTTCATCTGGAAGATGGGAAAACACCACTGCACCTTGCCTGTGAACTGCTGAGATCAGAGACAGTCCTCATTCTCCTCGGGAATGGAGCATCTCCCAGGATAGAGGACAGTAAAGGGCTTACCCCACTGGACGTCATCCTGGAGCAGATGTGGGACTCCAAAGTCAATGTCGCATCTAAGAAGCTCTGCCTCGATTACCTCTTGCTCTTCATGCCCAACCCACAGTTTAAGATGCGGAAAGTTCTGCAGGAGCACCCAGACCACTGGACAGCTTTGCTGGGAGAAGACAAATTCAACAGCCTGGTGGGGAACACACCTGCTTCTTTATATCTGCAAGCTATGCAAACTATTCTCCAGACTCTTCCCCCTTCCCACTTCCCTAAAAGCATCCAGGAACTACCTATACCTCAGGCACTAAAGCCCTTACCATCCTATGGCAAAAAGCTACCAGCAAAAAATGTGGTAAATGTTTTTCCTTGACTTTATTCAATGGGTCTTGGATTTTCCAAGGTGACTTAGAGGAGCTGGTGATCCACCACCCTCTGCATTTTAGTGGGATTTTAGTACTTAACCTATTAGGCTATGCTGGAAAATCCAGTATTTTGTGACAAGATTTTAAATGTATTTTCTAACTGATTGCAGGCACGGCACTTTTAAAGGCAAAAGCCTTCCTTGTTTTCTGTTTTGTTATGCATGTGAAGGGTTAACTGTAGTTGAGACTGTGTTATGTTTGTTTTTTTAGTTATCAGGTGGTATCAGTGTATCTGAATTCCCAATATAACTGTATCCTGTGTAATGCACCTGGGTTAAAAGGAACTAGGTACTCAGTGGGATTTTTAAATGGTGTCACTGCTAGAGCTGGGAGAAATACCATCCCCTACCAACAAGGTTCAAACATCAAGTTTCTTTCTAACAATGCTCAAGCATCATTAGTAATAACCACAAAGTGCATGGCTGATGTTGCAGGGATGCAGAGTTACCAGTATTCCTGCAGGATAACTGATCCTGCCAAGTTACTTCACAGCAAGTCATGGTGTGGAGGGCTTGAGTTCAGAGAGGGGCTTTATCCCCCTGGGGGATGGGGGATAAAGATCCACAGAATGGCTAATGGAAAGCATCCAGTCTCACCTGGGAGTGAGGGGGTTAAAGGCAATCCCAGCCCTGATGCCTCTACAGACTTGTGCAATGGGGAAGGAACCATTTTTCTTGCTGTCCAGTAAACAAATGGCAATTGGAGCAGGGACATTGGGAGCCCTGTCTGTCATATGTGACATTATTTCTCTTTGACTTGTGTTTTGGAACACATCTCTACAGGAGATGTAGCTTGCTAACTTGATTTCCCTGTGGGTCAGAGCCACAGGCATTTGTTACTTATCCTAAGCTGGGGTATGATGTTCTACTGTTAAAAGTTGCTACTTGCTGTCAGTTAGAGTATTTTTACCACCCAGGTCCAGACAGAAATCCTTAGCCTGGAAGTTACAAAATGTTCCCACTGAAGGCACTGCAGGTAGGGTGAGTTTGCAGAAAGCAGGGCTGGGTCTGGGCAGCCTTCTGAATCATGCTGCTCTCTCTGCTCCAGGCACAGGTCCTGCTCTCCTGGCTGTTTTCAGCAAAAACAGAGCAGTGGCAAAATCCCAGCTCCCTTTGGGGGACATCCCTTATTTTGGACACCAGCGTTCCCCACTCCTTGTAAGTGCAACCCTCTGCACTGCTGAAGTAGCACAGCTCACTTCCCCCGTCTGCATGGGGCAGCAGTGGAGAACTCACTCTCCTCTTCAGCTGGATTTGGAGCCCAAGGCTGTGGGGCACAAACCACTTTCCACAGGCAGTAACTAAGAAAGATGTGCAGTCAAATCTCAACTGCTTTGTGCAAAAATGGCTCATGTCTCATCCAGCTTATTCACTGCTTGTGCCAAGGAGGCCATGCTGGACCTGTGTCCATCTTTCTGTCAGCACAGGAAGCACTTCCATTTAGTTTCTCTCTGCATAGGCTGCCTCCTGTGTGCCAGGACGCTGGCAATGCCAGCCATGGCCAGGTGGAGATTTACTGTGAGGCTGCAGAACACGCTGCTCACAGCCAACTGGACCATCCTTTCTGGGACACTGGGATGCTCCTCTCAGCCATCTCTTCCTGCATGCTGTGGGAGGACCTCAGTTCCAGTGCCACCTGTGCTAGGCCAGGTGAATGAACAGGCTTGCTTGTGAAGTGGGGAAAGTGTCAGCCCAGCCCTAAAAGTGGTGAGCAGGCCATGAAGGGGTTAACCTTTTCTTGAAATCCCACATCTCTGGTGCTGTAGTGTCCCTCCACCCCTGCCCCCGGGGACTTGAATGTCCTTCTCCATCTGTGTCTGTTGCTCCTTGTTTGATGGGGAAGGCTTCAAACGGGAAATGCAGGGTCAGCTCTGAGCGAGGGTTTTGGGGTTTTGGGGGAAGCCTGAGCTCGACAGCCTGTGCTGCAGACAGAGGCTGTCACAGCTTGGGAAGCAAAGCAGAGCCCAAGGCAGATTTGCTTTATAAGCGGTGGCTCAGCTGCTTCTGCCAAGCCCTCAGGCTCCCCAGCACTGGCACATACTCTCCTGAAAACTCGGAGAGACTGTGCAGAGCACAGCCCCTGTGGCACCCCGGGAGTCCCAAGGAGCAGGATTGGGTTTGTCCCCAGCAGCACTGCGGTATCTCATCCGGATGTTGGTGGGTGAGAGGCGGAGGAGGCTGCTGGATATTATTAGAATATTAATTGGGTCCTGGAAGCAGAGATCCCAGGAAAGGAGGAAATGGAAATCATCCAGTGCTATTCCACTGGCTCTAAACCATGTGAGTTTCAGTGCTGTGAAACAGTGCTGTGAAGAGTTTCAGAAAAGACAGGAGGGAGGGGAGGGCTGTTCATCTTACAAATCCAAGGAGGCAGGTAGGAATTGTTGGTATTAATGGAGAACAATTTTTATTAAGGCAGGAGGCCACGCTCAGAGAGCCAGAGCAGCCCACTGGGAGTAAGCAAGTGTAAAATGGTGCAGGGGCCTCTTGTTGGCTGCAATAGTGGATCAATGCAGAGGTCAGGAATCAGGCATTTTATTCGTAGGTTTGTAGCAGAGAGCAGGATGCTTGTGTGCACACATTTGTCCATGTGGGAAGCTCTCCTCAATCCACCTGCCAAGAGCGAGGATAGAAGATGAATTGTCTTGGAATAGTTTTTTTCTGGGACATTCCTGTGACTGGTGCCCCAGCCTAGAAGAAAGCTGCTGGTCCAGTGTTGGCCAACATGTAAAAATTCCAGCCCAGAGTATAACAGGCAAGTACCCACACGGGAAAGATTACTCCACAGCCCCCTCATTTCTCCTTTTCTTGACCATTTTAGCAAGAGATTGAGCACCAGCTGGCCCTCAGTCGCATCAGGCCTCCCATGTGCAGGCCCAGTGGGCCAAAGTTTAAGGTCATTAGCACTGTGGTGACAACTCTTTCCATTGCCTGTAGCAATGTGACTGCAGGATGGCCACTCCTGCTGGAATAGGGGAATCTTCCCCCTGGACCCTGTTTGCTTATACTGTGGTGATCTGCCTGTTAGTTTGAGATCCTATTCATCTTCTTGGTCAATATAGTGACATTACATCAGATATGGCCAAATCTACCTCAGCCCTGTCTGTGTTGCTTTTTCTCTCCATTCTTTCCAAGCCAGGTCATCAGCAAAAGTAAACTCAAAATATTTTGCAATATTTTCCTGCAACCTGATCGTTTTGAAAAATCTCTATGCTTGCATGGCAAATATGTTGGTGACTTTGTTAATCAAAAAGGGTGCTGGGTGCTGGGTGGTGATGTTTACATTCTGCATATCTGCATACTGAGTAATTGTCTCTCAGCTCTGTATTTCTGAACTTGGGAAAAAGAATAAACACAAGAGAGAAATGGGGAAAGGTTAAAGTCTGTTCTGATCTTTGTATTTAGGTTGGCTCTGCAGGTTACATCTCTCTTTAATTTCAATTTTGAGGAGTAGCATTGTAAGGATCTGAATTGTCTGTATGTGTGAGCCTTTGATTTTGGCGAGAAGAGCTTTAGTGACTGCAGTGGAGCAGTGTGAGAGTGAGGAATGAGTGGAGTGAGTGAGTGAGTGAGTGAGTGAGTGAGTGAGTGAGTGAGTGAGTGAGTGAGTGAGTGAGTGAGTGAGTGAGTGAGTGAGTGAGTGAGTGAGTGAAAACACCCAGGTGTGTGTGCACGTGTGTGAGTACCTGCCCTCTCGTCACACGTGTGAGTGTCCGCCTGCCCTCTCCTGGCAAAGCCGTAACCGAGCGGCGGCTCCCACCCACTGCGCTCCCGGGACCAGCAGGGAGCGATGCCCTACGGAAGCAGCCTTTTCACGAGGTCTGCGTGTGTGTCCCGGCGCTGTGCTGCTGACAGGTAAGGACATTTCTGCTCTTGGAAAGAGGCAGCAGTTTTGAAATGGGTGATTTATCCCTGAGCACCAAGCATAAGGGCTTCTGCTTGCCAGCAACTATAATCATCCAGCAAAGGGTTTGTGATGCTGGCCACACTTTATTCTAGAACATATTTGTTTTTGGTTTTTTTTAATAAACTCTTGTAAACATACATCTTTGTCTTTCTTTTTTTTCTGGGCTGCCAGCAAAATCCAGCCACCTATCACTTCCTAACCCTATGCTTCTGTCTATTTCTGCAGCATTATTAGCAGGAAGGACAGGCCAGATTCTGACCTCAATTATACCTCCCTACACCTGAAGTAATGCTTTCTAAGTTGGTTCCATCACTACTGATGTTTCTTAGTCTAAAGGAAAACAAACTGTGCATTTGTGTTCTTGAAGGTTCCAGAACTCTGACTTCAGCATACAAATAAATGTGACACTTAATCCCTGAAAGCATGTTTTACATTTTTTGTACTCTGAATGTACATAGATATACATTTTCCATCTCTAACATCAATGGCATTTCCCTGTTCCCAGTTCCCTTGGTGTTTCTGGAATCAGCATGGCAGTGACGGATGCTGTTGTTCACTTATTAAGACTGAATGTTGCCAGGCCCAACCAGACGTGGATATTCATTGTATGATACAACTTTCTTGTAAAGCCATACTTTTGTAATTTTGGTTTCCCTTTTTTAGGGTGGGAAAAACCTCCCCTATAATTGTGTTTGCACATTACTTACTGCATGATTAAAGAGAAAACAATTGTAACATGCTGGAATAAGTTATATGTACATAGCCTGATATAATTAGGTACACTAGCTATGAAAAAAAATTAATCTTAATTGTATTAATATAATAAAATTGTAATATAAAATTGATGTGTCTTTTATTAGCCAACTGGTCAAAAACACCCACAAGTATCTGTTGCTTTTGCTTTGGCTTGTATTATTGTTTGGTGACTTCATTCTGTCTGCTGAGCCATTGTCTCAAAAAATGTGATCTGTGGAAAATAATATTTCCCTTCACAGGCTTACACCAGCTGACTGTGCTGTCAGAGAATGACCCCAAGTGATGAGGTGAACCCACACTTCACAGATCTGCTGAAAGGTGGTGATAACTCAGAAGGAGCAGTTCAACAGGGGTTGAATGGTAATTGGTTTCAGAAATGTTAATTTTTTAGGTTTGAGTTCAGCTTATGCAGCTTTTTCTTGTGAATGTAAGAGTGCTGGTAGCCTACTTTCCTTCTCTGATTTGTGCACCATCAACCAGCTTTTTGTGTACAGGAAGATACCCTGGCAAGGCTTCCAGCACCAACCTCTCCTGGAGGCTCAGCTGAAGGTCTTCAGGCAGATGTGCACCTCTCACCCTCTGTGCTCTCCATGGGGTAAGGATCCCCCAGATTCCATGCCAAGGTCTGAACCATCCTGATCCTCCTCTGCTCTGATAAGAACAGATGCCCAAGGTGTTTCAGGTGATGGGTAGCTGGTTTGGATGATGATGATAATCATGGGGTGTAGACTCCAGTGCCAACTGTACCCACAGATCTCCTCAAGGCACACTAGTATATGCAAGCTATAACCAAGGGATGACTCCTTTGAGCCTGTGCTTGCATAGTACATTACTGGCTTCATGGAAGAATGCAGAGAGGGAAGTTTCACTGATCTCATTTAAAGCAGATCAAGACTATGTCCTTGCCTTCATAGCACGAGATTCATCCCTAACTACTTCACACAAGAATGTGGTCCCCAAAGATGTAGTTTTCTGGCTTATTTGCTTCTATGTGTTTGAGAAAGGGAATCTGATGTAGTTTCTCTTGTGCCCTGGCAGCTCTGCTGGGGATGACCATTAGGGAGCTCCAGGCTGACACATCTCTCAGAGCCAGTCTCATGTAGGTATCGGGTTTTTTACAACTGTAGTTAGTTGGAGCCCACACACCAGCAGGCAGCAAGACAGGGATTTAAATAGAGAAATTTAAAGGGTATATTCCCTTGTGTGGGGGGAAGCACTGTCACAAGAAGATGATGCATTGAGCGAAATCCTGCCTACGCCTCAGTTACTTGGGTGCACCTCCCCGAGTGAGTCACCCAAAAGCAGCTGACAGGTTTGGCATGTCCCACACTGTCCCGTGTCTCCCTGGGCAGCACAGCAGCAATGCCTTGGGAGATGCTCTGCCTTCTGCTGCAGCACCGCTCTCAGCTGGTGACACGGATGGCCACCAGGCTCCAGCTCCCAAGATGCCTGCCATTGTCTCCAGCACTTTGGGAGCTGCTCTGAAGCCAAGAAGCCAGATTTCTCCGGGGGTGATTCCTAAGCAGTGCTTGGTCTGGAAAATCAGTCATAATTTTTTTCTAGTAAAATGTGTGTGTATTTTGCTATGGATTTGCTATGTGAAGGAGAAGTTTATTGCTGGTGGGAAGGCTTCTGGCGAATTTCATGAGTTCGTAGAGATAAGAGAGCTGTGCTCTGTACGCCAGCTCTGCCCACCCACACGGATCCCCGTAGAGAACAGTGAGGAGGAGGAATGATTATCACAGAATTGTCAGACTCATGCAAGAAAACCTGGGAGGAAGGAAGGGAAGAAAAGCACTGGGAAAGGGTATGGCAAGATGCCTTGTGGGAAGCGGATCCCACAGCTGAACAGAAATAGGGAAAATAGTCTGGAGAATCCCAAACCACAGTACAAGCTATGAGAAACACAGAAACTACCCCCTGCCACTTTCTCATGGAGCTTGGCTTCAGGGTCACAGAGAATAGCAGGATGATAAAGAAGAAGCTGACAAGCATTAGATAAGGAAATAATCACTAGAGCTGACTGGGAATTGAAGTTTCTATTCCACTAAAACCAACAATATTGGAAAATACACTTCTGTTCTAATTCAAAATGAAAATTCAAAATATCAAAACCAGTTTTACAAGGAAGAAAACTGATCCAGATCTATCAAGATAATTCTTAAAGAATAGTAAAATTTTGATAATGTAATACCTGGCTTTTTATTTTTTAACAGTATTAAAGCACTAAAACAGAATCGAAATATTATAAAAAAAACCAAACATGTCTTTTGATAGCCGAAAGTCTGTGTTCAGATTTTCTTGTAGCAGAATTTTTGTCAAAATAGGAACACAAAGCCCACAGTGCTGGATGCTCCCAACATCATGCCATGTCTCCAGCACTGGCAATGGGAGAAGCCAGGTGAGCAGAGCACCTTTGCCTGGCTACTTTCAGCAATACATTTCCTACTTAATTCCCTCAGTTCCCACAGCTGTTGCATTGGGGACATTGGAGGTTATACCCTTGCCTAGTCCTTCAGAGTATTCATCTTCTGACCTAGTGTCCTAAATTTGTCTAGGTCTTTTCCAAGACTGTTGATACAATCACATCCATGACTTCCTATGGCAGCAGTTTACACTTATCTGCACCCAAGCTCTCCTGCCACTTCTTTTTCCTACTCAGTTTAGTGGGATCCTTCAGGTGCCTCTGTGTGGTGTTTGGATACCTGGAAAACTCCAGCAGCTGTGAACACTGCTCACTCCTTTCTCCAGCCACAAGTTATATACTAAATCAAACTGGTTCCCACACCAATCTCCAGGACAGCCCACTGCTGATTCTTCCTCACCCTTTGCCACTCAGTAACCAGCTTTCACTGCATGAAATAACTCCTGTGATTCCATGACAGCTTCATTTTTTAAAATAATCTTTGGTGTGGAACCTGGCCCACAGGATTTTGTAAATCCAAGTAACTTATGTTCACCAGATCTCTCCTTTATCCTCTGTCCTTTTGAGTGAGGTAATTTGCAAACAATTCAATTTTTATGAAGATAATCTTTGCAGTAAAAAGGACCTAAAGATTTTTATGGATTGTGCAAAGTCTGCTTACAGAAGTACAGCCCATGGTGATTCTTGGAACTGTCCTGTGCAGGACCAGGAGCTGGACTCAATGATTCTTTTGAGTCCCTTCCAACTCAGAATATTTTGTGGTTCTGTGATTCTGTGAAACACTTTGCCTTGAGATTGCAGGGGAATCCCAGATGGTATTTTTTAAAAAGTGTCTTATAATTTTGAGGCTTTGACTGAAGCTGAAAATGAGCAACTATAGGACAAAATCTCTGTTCTTCTGAATGGAAGGTGTTAGGGAGTGACACTGTAAGCAGACTCTGCTTCTGAGTTTACAGATCCTAGTGAGATACTATTTTCAGCTGTGATGCATATATTTGCAGACACTAAACTTCTCACTGATAGAGGTGATTGCTTGATCAAATGGGGTTTTTTATGGGACTCCTCCTGTGGGTAGAACTGAGTTTCACTGATAGCTACAGGCTTTGGCTTACTTCTCTACCAGACTGCAGAGCCCAGCATGGTGACAGACAGAGATAAAATTACATTCCATGTATAATTTGGGATTTTGTGAAAGCCAAAATTATAGGAAGAAAGAACTCTTCCTAAATTAAGTTTCTGCTTAGAGTTGTGTTCCCTAAACACTCAAAAATTCCCATGCTTACTTAGGCTCACTCAGATCTGGTGAGCTTCAGGGAAGTGCAAGGTATGGCAAGAAACCCAGATTTGGGATCAGGGAGGCTGAGAGTAGCTTTCCCACAAAATTACCCAGCTCTTCTTTTGCAGAATTAACAGATTCTAGCAGCAGATTGGTGCTTTGTGGTCTCTGGAAAACATGAACTGGGTTTCAAAATGTCTCAGCTCTGCCCTGAAACACATGATCATCATCCCCTCAATTAAAAAAAAAAATCACTTAAAATGACAAAGTGCAAGCCTAGACCTGTTCATGCCCTTTCCTATTCCCCTTTTGCAAATATTTAGACCCGTAGAGCCCATGGGCTGGTCTGGGCCTGGGCTTTTGCGCCCACTACCTTGGAGGGGATGAACACACAAATTTCAAGCTGTAAAATGACTGCACATGATACACAGCATACAGCATGAATGCACATGCAAACACCACAGCTGATTTGAAAGAAGAGACCCTTCACGAGTCTTACTTATTTTTAGAGTGAAAAGCCCCTGCTTCAGCCAGGCAGGAGTCCATTGACTAACATCCCAGTTCCTTACTGGTGCCAGCCTGACAGGTTTTGCAGAGCTGCCTGTCAGTGCAACTCCTCTAAGATTCAGGCAGGCAACTCTTTGCCTTTAGGACGAGGTCAGCCTTTAAACAAGCAACTTCAGCTTTACTCTTTACTTTTAGTAGCTACTGCTTTTACTTGATATGAACCTTTATAGCATCCTCAATCAAATCTAGAAACTGTTCAGCCTGGCAGAGCTGCTAATGAATATGCTCTCACCAGCTGAAAGAAAAAAAAAAAAAAAAAAAAAAAAAAAAAAAAAAAAAAAAAAAAAAAAAAAAACAAAAAAAAAAACACAAAAGAAAACAAAAAAAGGAATGTATTTTAAAATGAAAGCCCAGTATTTAAGTTTCACATTTCAAATGCTTTAAGTGTGGTTTTTTTCTTCTTTTATTCCTGCAGTGCTGCTCGGCTATTGTCAGCTTCACTGCATGGCTCCCTGTGTTTTCACAGTCAGTCCCCAAATTGCCTCAGCTTTGAAGTGGATCCATCTTCCAAAGGGACACCTTTTCTTCCTCCCCTCCTCAGCATCAGTAGCACATAAGCCCTGTGGGGCTTTTGCCAAATAACCGCGTTTATTAGAAGAGAAAATAGAGACGATAACTTGTGAAATAAGGAAACTCAGCTGGGCAGGGCCGGATAGGGACCAAAAGGAGTGATCAGCAGCCTTCCCTTCTCCTAGGGGTGTTCTGGCTTGTTCTCTGCCTGAGCTGTGGAGAAGTAAAACCAGCTCCTTGCACCTGTGCAGGCGCTACCGGTGATCATTTCCGCACATCCCCTTTGTCTTGCTTAGGGTTTGTGGTT